GTATGTATGTAAATCTTCCTAGATTTTAATATTAACTTCTAAATGTTAGATATGTAAATACAAAGGAATTGTGTGCTACCTATGTAAATTTCCCCACTGATAGAATAATATGACTTGCACGCATCAAGCTTTTGTTCCTACATTCCATTCTATTCCAATTAATATCAACCAAGAACTGTAATGGAATTCAGAATATATAGAGAAACATCGATAATAAAAAGTATTAGAGACACGACTAGATTGTGAGAGAATGCATAATAGTTAAAGCGTTCAATATCTTAAAATTTATGCTTCTTTTTATATACATTTTTGTAAAAACTCGTGCTTTTATGTGACATTTGTTTATATTTTGTTGCATGAAAATAACACGATAAATGAATTTCTAGAAAAATGATAATTCTAAATGGCGTGGCAGGGCTATAATGACATTGAGACTGAATGTGTTAGCATTTGGGTTGTTCCAACTGGTATCAAAGCATTACACCAGCATATGAAAGAGGTTGTGCTTTTAGTTTGAAAATCGCTAATCTCTCAAAAATTAATTTGAATTTTGGCTCAGATCGAGATCGTATCAAAATAAACAAGTTGTGCTATGAGTCGACAGTTTATATCTAATTTTTTTCAAGCTAATTTCATGTCATACATGTATCAACTCAAAATAATTTTTATTCAATAGATATTATATATATATATAGTCATATATGTATCAACTCAAAATAATTTTTATTTAATAGATATTATATATATATATATATATATAACTAAATAAAATTGAATATAACGAGCCATAGGCCGATTTCAAGCTAGAACAAAACCAAATAATTCAATTTGAGCCACCTAGTTTTGATTTTGAGACAAATTTGAGTAATAGCATATCCAACTAACTCAATTTGAGTCAGCTCGTTTCGAGTTTGTGTGATCGAGCTCGACCTAATTTCAAGCTAAGTTGCCTCGAAATCAAATATAATAAGCCACAAGCTTATTTCGAGCTGCACTCAATCCATTTGAGTGGATCCCAACTCGACTTGAAATTGGATCATTAACAACCTTACCTAAAGATGGGAACTAAGTGTCATATAAAAAAAGGTTCATTGTAAGAGCATCTCTTGAACCCAAGATGGGACAAGGAGCTGCATAGAAGAAGCCAATGTTTGAATATATAGAGGCCACCTCTACAATCTTACATATCTAATGGATATTTCAAGGCTTAGAGCATTGATGAGGATGTCAGTTATTTAAAGCGGGTGTGGGTGAGGGCGGAAGGATTGTGAAACCTCTTATGTAGAATGAAGCTAAACTCTTAAATTTTGGGGCTTCTTTAAAAGTGTTAATAGAGTTTTTATAGAAACTTTAAAGTTAAGAATGCTTGCATGGGAGCACTTTTGGGATGGTCGATCTCCTAGGATGTTAGACCATTGAGTAAAATTGTGAGGGCATTAAGCAAAAGAGGACAGTGCCTTGATTGGTGAGAGTCTGAGCAGTTATAAATTTGGTGGTGGGAAAACTAGCTCCTATGTTCCTTGATGCTGAAGTGCAAGAAATTCTTAAGATATAACATGTCTACAGTGAGAATGTTTAAATGCTTGGTTTTAGCAAGTTGGTTTAGTGTTCTTGGCAACTTGATGGGCAAGATTAAAGATTTGTTTGGGCTTCAGGTTTCATGTTTGAAGTCTAGTGACCATGAGATGCCATTATGGAAGAAATGAAATAATTTTTTTATTTTTTAATATTTCAAGAGAGTAAGATTTATAGATGAAAGTGCAAAATAATATGGTAGAGTAACAATTAGTAGGATCCCCTGCTTATCTGTCTCAGAGTAAAAATGAAGAATTGATTCTCTTTTGTTGATTGAAAGATCATAACAAACAATTCTCTTGAGATATCACATGATTTTTTTTAGTCAAAGAAAATATTGATCAAGAGGATATTGTATATGTCGATCGACCTGATTCACCACATAAGCTATGTCAGATCTGGTGTTTGTGAGTGTCAAAGAGAGTAATAAAGCGACAATAATGTATAGGGTTTGAGAAGGTTTAGTGAGGCTCCTTTTAGTGTAACAATAGAATTTTTATAGAAACTCCAAAGTCAAGAATTCTCGCATGGGAGCACTCTTGGGATGGTCGACCTCCTGGTATGTTAGTCCATTAGGGTAAAACCGTGAGCTCATTATGCCAAAGAGGGCAGCGCCTTGATTAGTGAGAGTCCGACCTATTATAAATTTGGTGGTGGGAAAACTAGATCCCATTTTCCTTTAATGAGCTAGTGAGTCATAACATTATTTTTAATGGTAGTGTTTTGTAATTTATATTTTATTTGTAGAAACTGAGAATGTTTTGTGGATTTTAGGTGTTTGGCAAGACTATCCTAAATTTCAGTGGCTGATCAGTTGTGGGGGAGAATTTGGGCTAAAATTCTTGTATAAACAGTAAAGTAAAAAGAAACTGATAAGTTTTGGAAAATTAACTTTGAGGTAGTATTGTTCGGATTTAGTGAGATTTAGTTGTTGATGTCTTTAAGAAAATGTGATGGGTATTGTGATGACTCGTCCAAAAAGGAGACAAAATCATTTGTTGAAAAGAGTTTAAGAGTTAGGGATCTCCATATATAACAATTATCTGTACTGAGAGGTGTGTTGGCTATTGTTTTGATATTTGCCATGAAAAATTTGAGAGAAGACAAATAGTGATATCAACAGTTTGATGAAGGATTTGATCCTCCATCGATCTAGGTTGATTGAGAAGACGGAGAACCTATCAAAACGAAAGAGAGGAGACAGTTGCAAAGTTATAATGTTGTGATACCATGAAGAGTTGTACTAAAATTCATAAGATACATGAATACATTGATAATAAACAATACT